TCAGATTTCGATGTTTTCCAGAAACTTACATTTTTTTATTATTGACTTTGTAATCAGTTCTCAACGATCATTTGAATAAACAAGTTGAAAATTCAACATCGGGCTTTTCTTAATTTTAAGTTAATTTCGAACCGACGAAATTTAACATTTAAGAAAACGTCGGAAAAACAATTTTAAGATTGATAAAAAAGCAACAATTTATTAAAATTATTCCAGAACCGAAATTACCTCCCGCGCGATCGGATGGCGTGTGAAAATCGAATAATTTTCACGCGCCGCTTTTCGCTTGGTTATTTTCATTTTCCAGAAGCTTTTCCAGTACTCGGGGGATCGGCGAAAGGGCGAAGTGGAAATTTCGAAAAGCCAATTTTTTTAACATTTAAACGACTCGTTGGAAAAAGTGAAAATCGAAGGGCGTTAAAAAAGCATACAAAAAAAGTGAGTGAAAAGAGTTTTTGGCGGAAATTAATTTTTCCCACAAAAGCTTTATATAAGCGTAATAAGAAATAATAGAAAGTTCGATTTTAATAGTGAGTGAGTTTATTGTATTAATTATAAAGCTTTATACATTGTGTGGAAAAGTTGGTGAAAAGTTTATGTGAAAACGGGAAAATATCGTACGTCCCCCGTATAATACTGATTATTTTCATAAAAATCTAAAAAAAATATGTATTTTTTTTTCTGCTACAATGGTAAAATGAATAGTTCTCGACCTGACAATGGAAGAAAAATTATATTATTGTTCTTATTAAGTCGAAATATTTAGTTCTAGACGATTATAAATAACTCTAGGACGATCTAGATAGTTCTAAATGGTTCCAGACAGTTTTGGAATAACCATGAGGGTTTTAAATGATTCTCGAGAATTTTGAATGATTCGGGAGAGTTCTGAATGATTATATATTTTTATTTTAGCTCCAGAATACGCTCCTGAAGTTATGTACCGTACTTATCGAACACCCTGTATCCCCCCCCCCGGAACCAATCCTGTTGCAGAAAGGACCTATTATCTAATATCCTAATATCCCTACACTGTACCAGGCGCTGATTTAATCGCTTCGAGTTTTTCCATTAAAGTTACATGCCGTGTTAATCGCTCTTGCACTCCGCGAAATGCTATATAGCTCGAATAAAACACTTTTAAACAGTATTATTAATTGTTTTTCTGCGAAATGGCGAACGTTCACGCTCGTAAATCTTCGTCGAGGAATTAAAATAAAAAAAAAACTCGAAAATGTTTTTCGATTATATTATTTATTATAGTATTTATTCGTGAAAAACTTACAAATGGTTACAGAATTATATTTCGATCTAAATGGATCAAAAATACAACTAGAAGTGAACATTTCTAAAGAGTTACACAGATCTTATACAGGGTGAGTCATGAGGAATCGTACATACATTAACAGTGTATAGAGTCACTTAAGGTGAATATCAAACGACCATTAAAAGTTCCATCCGATTTTTCTTTAAGGAGATACAGGGTGATTTATTAATTTTAACGAAATTTTCTTTTCTATATCTTTATGGTTGTTATTTCGATTTGGTTAGTTTTTTTGCTAAAAGTATACATTTTGAACCAGCAACACACTGGCATATTCAGAATTAAAAAAATTCAGGACCGTCTTCAAAAAAAGAGGTAAATATTTCCAAACATAATATTTCACATTGTATATACTTTTTCTAAATTATCATTTAGTTAATGTAGAAGGTAAAAGTAACTCATAAAGCCTGAGCATCGGAAATTTTTGCCACACTTTGTTTAAATTGTCAATTATCAATTAACTTTTAAGAAAAATTACACATTTAGGATAACGGAATAATTTACATTAAAATAATATTTTCTATCGTACAAATTTTCATGAAAATTAATAAAAACAACTAAATACATATTCTTTTGTATGAAAAAGTCCTAAAATAAAAAAAATAATTCAATATTATTCTCTAATGAATTATTTTTTCTGTATGTTAAATTAGAAACAATGATCGAAATAGTCTATGACAAATGAACCCTTTCTTTGTTTTTGCATTTTGACATTTGATTTCATTCTTTCATCAATAATTAAGAATTGAATTGTTGTGTGTTACTACTTGATACACTGTTTATTAAAAAATGCCATTTAAATATTCAATTGCTAAATATGTTGATATTATTTTTGTTTACGGATGTTTACGGATTTTTGTTTACAATGGCAAATGAATTTCATTTTGAGCATGTTTTATAATATATATTATATATATTATATTAATATATATATATATTATTATTATATATATTATATATCTATATTATATATATTATAATATAGAATAAATTTTTTGATGAATTTTTGTGTTTTTCGTTAGTTTTTGAACAGTTATTATCATGTGTGTTGAATATTTTTTATTGAGTTAATTTTAAGATTTTTTTTGTAATTTTAGGACTTTTATAAAAAGGAATATCTAATTAGTCGTTTTTATTAATTTTCATTAAAATATGTACGATAGAAAATATTATATTAATGTAAATGATTTTTCTTAAAAATTAATTGATAATTGACAATTTAAACAAAGTGTGTCAAAAATTTCCGATGCTCTTGCTTTATGAGTTACTTATAACTTTTACATTAACCAAATGAAAATTTAGAAATAGTGTATACAGGGTGAAATATTAAGTTTGGAAATATTTACCTCTTTTTTTTTGAAGGCGGTCCTGAAATTTTTTAATTCTGAATATGCCAGTGTGTTGCTGGTTCAAAATGTATACTTTTAGCAAAAAATTAACCAAATCGAAATAACCACCATAAAGATAATAACAAAAGAAAATTTCGTAAAAATACATAAATCACCCTGTATCTCCTTAGAGAAGAGCCGGATGGAACTTTTAATGTTCGTATGATATTCACCTTAAGTGCCTTTATACACTGTTAAAGTATGTACGATTCCTCATGACTCACCCTGTATACTGGTCTTAATAACTAAAGTAACTTAATTCTAATTACAAACATACATTATTTTAATAACAAACAATATTTGAATTTAGTTTGAATTAACTTAAATAAAAGAATTACTGTTGGTAAAATAAATTCTAATATACTACTGGTGAAGTGGTAACATAACTCGGCTATAAAGAACAAAACTTACATTTTTAAGCGAAAGTTTTAAATTACCACTTTCGACGAATCAATACGTAAGTAAATGACAAAATGCTTAATAGTGACATATGAATGAATTATTTAAATATTTATAACTGTGGAAAATTGGAAAGTGCAATTGTCTTTGCAATAAAAAAAATTATACGAATTATATGCCAATTGTATGGTAATTATTACAGAAATATGAACCGTAACAAATGAATTTTAAAGCGACCCCTAAACCTGATTAGTCTCCCATGCTAACTGTAAAATTAATTATATAAGAAGAATTTGGTCAAGGAACAACAGGAAAATGTAAAAAAACATCTCTATAAATAGTTATTCGATGAATAACTTTTAAACTCCAGTTAAATATTTCGACGTTTCACCAACACTTTTAATCTTTTGTTAGCTATTTAACGGTTAAAGCAAATATTTCTAATTAAACCAACCGTTCTGATTCGCCTCTGATAAAATTTTGTAACGATTTACCTTCTCCCAATATTATCATAAAATAGTTATTCAATGAATATTTAGCTAAATATTTTGACGTTTCACCAACACTTTTAATCTTTAGTTAGTTATTTAAGAGTTTAAATAAATATTTCTGGTAAACCAACTTTTAGAATTCAAATCTTTCCAAAAAAAAAGGAAGATTTCGAACTGCAGGTTATTTTTTTTGGTTTTTTTTTGGTGATTTTTAAATGGATCGAAAAAGGGAAAGAAGCAAAAATTATTTGGTAGACAAGAAGAAAAATTAAATAACAATCCATCTTTCTAAAACAATTCGAAGTTGTCTATAATGAAAATCTTCATCAGATGATGTTTAATATGATGATGAAGATGATGCTAAAAATCTAATTAAAGATAAATAATTTTGAAATAACTTAAAAAGTATATAATTTTTGTATTGTCTTGTGCAAATAAATCTATAAAGAGTTATTCGATGAATATTTAGCTAAATATTTTGACCTTTTGCCAAAACTTTTAATCTTTAGTTAGCTATTTAAGTAAGCTATTTAAGAGTTTAAATAAATATTGCTGGTAAACCAACTTTTAGAATTCAAATCTTTCCAAACAAAAAAAGAAGATTTTGAACCGAATTGTTCAGGTTATTTTTTTTTTTTGATTTGGTTTTTTGGTGATTTTGAAATGGATCGAAAAAGGGAAAGACGCAAAAATTATTTGATAGAGAAGAAGGAAAATTTAATAACTATTCTTCTTTCTAAAACAATTCGAAGTCGTCTATAATGAAAATCTTCATCAGATGATGTTAAAGATGATGATGAAAGTGATGCATCTAATGAAAGATAAATAATTTTGAAATAACTTAAAAATTTCACAATATTTGTATTATCTTTTACCTATTATCCATTATTCTCAAACAAACTAAAAATACAACCAATAAAAATTCGCAATCAAAAAAACATTAATTAGATATAACAAATTAATATAATTTGAGGTTAGAAAACATCGAACAAAACTTTAACTGTCCAAATTTCTTTGGTAAATTAAAATTTAATGAAAATTAAAATGCAAAATTAATATTTGTTGTGTTCATTATTTTCTTCAATTTTTATTTCAACCTTAATTTTCCAGTTAAGCCTGTCAGAAAATTTAACATTTAACGTGATCATTATTATTAATTATCAATAATTATCAATCATTATTGCAATGATTGTTTAAAATCTCGCAATTATATTTTTAAAAACCCGTCCAGTATATTTTCTTCTAATTTGCAAATATTCATGCGTATTGTAAACATTCATTGTGAACATTCATATATTTAAATTATATTCTTTCGATCGAATATTAGCTGTAAATATAAAACAATATTATTACAGTCCGCAAAATTGCAGCGAGAATTTAATGAAAACAAATTTGCGAAATGATTACAGGGAGTGAAGTAAAATACAAAAAAGTCCTAGTATGGGAAAGTATCATTGTTCTAGGGACATTTCATGTTATAAGTACTTATGCACTATGGCTTATTCTTTCGTTACAAATAGGTTTGAAAACCTTGATATTCAGTAAGTACAATTATTTATTTATTTATTTATTTATTTATTTACTTATTTCTTTATTTGCCCTTTAGATGCACAATGGTATTTATAACACTGTATGTGCATCCCTCGCTTAACAAAAATAATTAATTATTAATTAATTAGTAATTAAGTTCGAAGTTAATCTACAACTAGATAAGATAATAAATCTCAGTTTAATAAAAGTAATACTTTCGATCAAAATAAAAAATAAATAAAGAAATTTAATTTGTTTACTACCATAGCATGGTTAATGGATAATTAAAGTAATTCTTTTGATCAAAATCAAGAATAAAGAAATTTAATTATTTTATTACCATAGCATGGGTAATGGAAAATTAAAGTAATTCTTTTGATCAAAATAAAAAATAAAGAAATTTAATTATTTTATTACCATAGCCTGGTTAATGGAAAATTAAAGTAATTCTTTTGATCAAAATAAAAAATAAAGAAATTTAATTATTTTATTACCATAGCCTAGTTAATGGAAAATTAAAGTAATTCTTTTGATCAAAATAAAAAATAAAGAAATTTATTTATTTTATTACCATAGCATGGTTAATGGAAAATTAAAGTAATTCTTTTGATCAAAATAAAAAATAAAGAAATTTAGTTATCTTATTACCATAGCCTGGTTAATGGAAAATTAAAGTAATTCTTTTGATCAAAATAAAAAATAAAGAAATTTAATTATTTTATTACCATAGCCTAGTTAATGGAAAATTAAAGTAATTCTTTTGATCAAAATAAAAAATAAAGAAATTTATTTATTTTATTACCATAGCATGGTTAATGGAAAATTAAAGTAATTCTTTTGATCAAAATAAAAAATAAAGAAATTTATTTATTTTATTACCATAGCATGGTTAATGGAAAATTAAAGTAATTCTTTTGATCAAAATAAAAAAATAAAGAAATTTAGTTATCTTATTACCATAGCCTGGTTAATGGAAAATTAAAGTAATTCTTTTGATCAAAATAAAAAATAAAGAAATTTAATTATCTTATTACCATAGCCTGGTTAATGCAAAATTAAAGTAATTCTTTTCATCAAAATAAAAAATAAAGAAATTTATTTATTTTATTACCATAGCATGGTTAATGGAAAATTAAAGTAATTCTTTTGATCAAAATAAAAAATAAAGAAATTTATTTATTTTATTACCATAGCATGGTTAATGCAAAATTAAAGTAATTCTTTTGATCAAAATAAAAAATAAAGAAATTTATTTATTTTACTACCATAGCATGGTTAATGGAAAATTAAAGTAATTCTTTCGATCAAAAAAAAATAAAGAAGTTTAATTATTTTATTACCATAGCCTGGTTAATGGAAATACTGGCAATTCTCGGATCAACGGCGGGCTCCCATCGATTATGGTCTCACAGATCGTACAAAGCCAAATGGCAGTTGAAATTGTTTCTGGCTGTGGCTCAAACAGTGGCTTTTCAAAAAACCATCTTCGAATGGGCAAGAGATCATCGAATTCATCATAAATACACCGAAACCGATGCGGATCCTCACAATGTTAAAAGAGGATTTTTCTTCGCTCACATGGGTTGGCTTTTCGTTAGAAAACATCCGGATGTTATCGCGAAAGGAAAAACTATCGATTTAAATGATATTTATTCAGATAGAATCGTGATGTTGCAAAGGAAGTGAGTAATTTTGAAAATCGTGTTGAATTACGTTAAAACATTGACTTTTATTTGCATTAATTCGTCGCTAATGTTTTACGAGAACGGGTGATTTGAATGTAAATTTCATGCGATTATTCGTTATCAATTTATTTTGGTTTTTATGCACTTATTATGCCAATACCTCAATTTAGCAGTAGCCAAACTTCAGGAGATGATTATACAAGTAATTTCGAACCAAAAATGTTCAATAACGCTTTTTCGAAAAGTTGATGGTTTCTCTTTTATTTAAAATTTCGTAGTTTAAAAGTGTTTTTAGTTTATTTAGTAACTTCACTAGTTGAAATAATGCTAGCAGAAAAATGAATGTGGCAACAACGGAAATAATTTTATACAAAATTTTATTTTATATTGGACATTTTGGTTATGTTATTGACGAATTTTTGGGAAAACAAAAACTTTTTTTACGACGAAACCCGTTATTTAACAAAAATTATGATTATTAGTTAATTATTACATTTTGATAACAAAGTTTGAACGGTTTATACCTCTTTGGTAACCAGCTATTGGTATTTAAAAGTATTTTATTTTTATTCTTTTTCCTCTCAAAACGTAAAAAATAGTTAAAAAAAACTAAAACTTTTTTTCAACATCTTTGTCTTTTTAGAGTATTGGAATTACCAGCTTTTGAAATAATGTATATCGGTATTAGTTAGATATTTATGGAAAGATGCATATAAGAAGTATAATGTATGATACTAAGCAAAAGGGTAGTAACTTAAAAGTAATTTAAACAACCCTTGTAAAACCACTAAGAAATTTTGTGGTTACTAACAAAAATAACATTGGAAAAAAAGCAAAAATTACTTGGAAGAGGAGCAGGAAAATTTAATAACGATCCATCTTTCTAAAACAATTCGAGGTCGTCTATAATGAAAATCTTCATCAGATGATGTTAAAGATGAAGATGAAGATGATGCTAAAAATCTAATAAAAGATAAATAATTTTGAAATAACTTAAAAAGTACATAATTTTTGTATTGTCTTGTGCAAATAAATCTATAAAGAGTTATTCGATGAATATTTAGCTAAATATTTTGACGTTTCACCAAAACTTTTAATCTTTAGTTAGCTATTTAAGAATTTAAATAAATATTTCTGGTAAACCAACTTTTAGAATTCAAATCTTTCTAAAAAAAAAGGAAGATTTCGAACTGAATTGTTCAGCTTATTTTTTTGGTTTTTTGGTGATTTTGAAATGGATTGAAAAAGGGAAAAAAGCAAAAATTATTTGGTAGAGAAGATTTAATAACTATTCTTCTTTCTAAAACAATTCGAGGTAGTCTATAATGAAAATTTTCATCAGATGATGTTAAAGATGTGAAGATGATGCTAAAAATCTAATGAAAGATAAATAATTTTGAAATACCTTAAAAAGTACATAATATTTGTATTATCATCTACCTATTATCCATTATTCTCAAACAAACAAAAATAAATAAAAATACAACCAATAAAAATTCGCAAGAAAATAAGATATTACATATTATTTAAGGTTAGAAAACATCGAATAAAACTTTAACTGTCCAAATTTCCTTGGTTAATTTAAACACCAATTTTAATTTCCAAGTTTTTCGAAATTTGAACCGATTCGATATTCGAAAAAAAAAAAACGAAAGAGGTTGGAGCGAGAAAGCTACAATCTCACAATATCACTCTTCTTTTTCCTTTAATACGAGAGTAATGGATGTTGTCTTTATGAAGGATGTCTGAAAAATTTAATACAAAAAATATCCCTGACGTCTCATTGAAATATAAAAACTGGGCTACAAATTTTAATCCTAAATATGCTAAATAATCTAAATCATAAGCTAGATTTAAATGTAAAAAAAAACGTCTATCAGTAATCGCTTCTGCTTTTTCATTCATTACAATAATTAAAATATATTTTTGTAAACTACTAGATCTTTCTTATCTACAGTGTGGCACATTAGTATGGAAGAGCTCAATATATCTGTTATTGTAGAAGATATTAAAAAAACTTCATTACAAAGTTGTAGATCTTTTTAAGCTGGATATTTTAAAATTAGTTGCATTTATACAGAGTGTCCCGCTTTTACGTAGCTTTTTAAAATGGAACACTCTGTTTTTTAATCAAAAATTGAGTTTAGCTGGTTTTTAGCTTTCCATAAATATAATTTTGTATAACGTTATACTGAGTGGTTTAAAAGTTATGACCACATTTCCACGAAAATCCTATTAAGTTTACCACTATGTAGAAACTAAATGGATTGACTTGAAAATAAATTTCAGGTTTCACAACATTGCAAATATCCTGAAAATGTACAAAATGAATATTTTTCTTTAATTTTAATCATACTGCTTACAGGGTGGATCCAAACGCAAAAGTAACATTTTCTCCGTTATTTTAAATGGATCACCCTATATTTTATATCGTTACCAGGAAGTATTTTTGAAGTACTTTCATTCTTATTAACCATTCCCTATACCTAAAGTTAATATTTTCGAGATATTTCAATTAAAAAAAATTAGAACTTAAAATTAAAGCTTAAATAAACTTTAAGCTTTCTTTATTTAACAATTGAAGTACACATTAAAGACAGAAGTAAGAAATGTCAATTAAACACAATCAATATTTCAATATTCTTTAATTAGACTGACCTAACTCCAGATACTAATCGTATAGGTACAAATAACTAATTGTCTATAGCGACTAATTACAATTAGTAATACCTTTTATTAATAACAATTTGGTTCATTTTGTTTGTTTAGAGTAGTTTTTTAAAATTCTGGTTTTTCGTATACCGTGGAAACTTTATGTTTGAAACGATCTAATCACTTTTCAAAAGCTTTTTTGTTAGGTTGTCTTCTTCTATGGTGTCTCTCATGGCAAATCCTTTTGGCAAGCAAAAAAATTCTCTAAACTTTTTCCCAATACCCAAATCATAACCATCAATAATTGTTCAATAGAAAAATTCATTTTGTATTGTGAATTTTACAAATTGTAGAGACAATGCAGACAAATAATACCAGATAGTGTTTAATTGACGTTTCTTACTTCTTCCTGTGACGTGTATTTTGATTAAAAAGAAACCTTAAAGTTTTTTTCTTTTTAGATTTTAAATGAAATATCTCGAAAAGTATTAACTTTAGGTATAGGAAATGATTAATAAGAATGAAAGTGCTCCAAAAATACTTTCTGATGACGATATAAAATATAGGGTGATCCATTTAAATTAACGGAGATAATGTTACTTTTGCGTTTAAATCCACCCTGTAAGTAGTATGATTGAATATTTTGACAAGTAAATGTTAATAACATTTAAACGGCTGAACCGATCTTCAAAAAAATGAAAATGTAAAAAAGGAGTTTCTTTAGTCTATAATTTACACTATATAAGATATTATTTATAGAAAAATAGTCAAATAATTGCCAAACAAGCCTGTGAAAACCGCATCTCGATATCTCCTTCCTAACCTAAAAAAAGAAAAAAATCAAGAAAATGGGTAATTTTTGATGCATTACCAATATAAAAGACTCTAATTAGCGTTGTTCCATCCACAAAAATTATCAATTTATTAATAATCTTCAAGTATGATATTTAGAAACACCAAGCTAAGTACATACTATTCATTCCATAATTATAATTAAGTCGAAAAGTATTAATAGGTATAGGGAATGATTAATAAGAATGAAAGTGCTCCAAAAATACTTCCTGGTAACGATATGAAATATAGGGTGATCCATTTAAAATAACGGAGAAAATGTTACTTTTGCGTTTGGATCCACCCTGTAAGCAGTATGATTAAAATTAAAGAAAAATATTTATTTTGTACATTTTCAGGATAATTGCAATGTTGTCAAACCTAAAATTTATTTTCAAGTCAATCCATTTAGTTTCTACATAGTGGTAAACTTAGTACGATTTTCGTTTAAAAGTGGTCATAACTTTTAAACCACTCAGTATAACATAATACAATATTATATTATTGGAAAGCTGAAAACGAGCTAATTTCAATTTTTGAATAAAAAACGGTGTTCAATTTAAAAAAGTATAAGTTTGGTCTACCACGGAAAGACGGGACACTTTGCATAAATGTTACTAATTTTAAAATATGCAGCTTAAAAAGATCTACAACTTATGTAATTAAGTTTTTTTTTGATAACTTCTACAATAACAGATATTTTTAGCTTTTCCACACTAATGTGCCACCCTGTATTTTTCTTTAAGGTAGACTGAAGCAAATGTAAAAATGGGGTAAATGTAATATTTTTACCTATTATGTTAATGTTTTTATTATTTTTATAGTTCTTTTGTGCATTAGACAGGGTTTGTTTCTTATTTTTTCTTTATTATTTTTGTAGCTCTGTTATTTTTTGAAATAAATAAATTAACAGCATATCAAATTTTAGAGGAACCAAATATGTATTTACAATTGCCCAATATGTTTTTCTATACAGTTCATTTCTTTAATTCCCCTTTTATTTTTTGAACGCATTAACTTAGAAAATTGAAATTTAGGATAACAAAACTAATGCATGATTACTATATTTTGGAGTAAAATTGACAGGTGAAAATTTCAAGATGGCGACTGGACGCCATATTGAGAAATAAATTTAAATGGAAAGGGGGGTCTTGTGACACATCATTTTAAAGCTCCTGACAAATACTGTACAACCCTGGAATATAAAGTCAATATCTGCACCCATTACAAAATGGTGGAACATTTAATAATTACCTGAATACAAACAGATTAATATCAATTTTTCTAGAATTAATTGTTTTACTATGCCAAATAGCAATCCCAACAAACCGATAAGGTTTGACAGGTTATTTTTGGTTAAAAAAATTACGTACGACAAACGAACATTAATTGTTTAGTCAAAATATTCTCTTTAGTTTTCGATTTTCCCAGTGTTCAAAGTATTTTCATTTAGTTTTCGGTTGTTTAGTTCTCATTGTAGTTAAGTACCACGTGAACTAACTCTAAAATGGCCAATTCTCGTTTATTGGAAGATGGAGCATCACCACAATAGTCCAGACAAATAATGAACTATTTGAATGCTATTTTCCTTGGTCGTTGGATTGGTCTTCGAGGTCCTACGTAATGGCCAGCCCGCTCGCCAGATTTGACTCCTTTGGACTTTTTTTATGGGGCTATTTAAAGCAAAAAGTGTACGAAACTGAACCTGCTTCAATATTGGATATACGAAAAATAATTACTTGTATCAAGAAGTTAAAGTCAACCATTTCGAGCATTTTTTGAACTGAACTCAGCTTATTTTCTCAAATTATGACGTTAAACGTCAATGTATTCAGGTAATTATTAAATGTCCGCCATTTTGTAGCAGGTGCAAATATTGACTTTATATTCCAGGGTTGTAGAGTATTTGTCAGGAGCTTCAAAATGATGTATCACAAGACCCCCCTTTCCATTTAAATTCCATTTAAATGCGCCCAGTCGCCATTTTGAAATTTTCATCAGTCAATTATACTTCAAAATATAGTAATCATGCATTAGTTTCATTATCCCAAATTTCAATTTTCTAAGTTGATCCGTTCAAAAAATAAAAAGGGGGGGACATTAAATAAATGCACTGTATAATTGTATTGCACTTTAGAACCGTTGTCAACATATTGTCAACATATTGCCTACATTTTAAAAAATATGTAAAATCGCTTTCTTCCTTTTTCAAAAAAAACTTTTTAATACCTCGATTCTTTAGTTTAGGAAGTTGTGAATTTAATGTGATATCAGCATTTGTAATAAGAGAAACAATAATGCCACATTTTAGAATTTAATTTGAACTATTCAAATTTTACAACCGATTTGCCCCAGTCTACCTTATATAAAAACAAAACTGAACTATTTTATTTTAGATACTACTTTCCGTTAGTGCTAGTTTTATGCTTTGCTATACCAACATATATTCCAATCTATTATTGGGGAGAGACTTTTTCGAAATCGTTCAGTATGAACGTTCTGAGACACGTCATCGGTATCAACATAACAGGTTTAGTTAACAGTATAGCACACACGTGGGGATACAGACCCTATGACAAGTAAGATCTTGTTCGAATAATTCTAATACAGGGTGTCCCAATAATAAGTAGCCTTCCCCCTCTCTCCAATGAGCTAATAATTTTTAAACGCCTGTTCCTAAAAACAAGCGGTTTTCGCAGATACAGGGTGTTTCACAACTTATCCGACAAATTTTAACCACATATGCACTGTTACGAGAGAAGTTAATTTCCCAAAAAAAAATGTAATAAAAGTCTTACAGAAATCGAGATAATAAAATAATAGTTTAACAGTTTAATTACTTATACAAGATGTTCAAAATTGTTCACATTTACTGCAATGCAAGCTTGGGTGCTTGTTTTTTTTTTTTTTTTGTTTTAACCATTGTTTTGGTGCAACATTTGCTACAGTAAAGTATTAAGGCAAAATTATGAACGCAAAATGCGGTATTTATTTTTCAATTTTTTATTGAAACTTGGGTTTATAATTTTATTTCTGTAGGATATTTATTACATTTTTTTTGAGAAATCAACTTCTCTCTCTTTGAGAAATCTCAAAAAAAATGTAATAAATATCCTACAGAAATAAAATTATAAACCCAAGTTTCAATAAAAAATTGAAAAATAAATACCGCATTTTGCGTTCATAATTTTGCCTTAATACTTTACTGTAGCAAATGTTGCACCAAAACAATGGTTAAAACAAAAAAAATAACAAGCACCCAAGCTTGCATTGCAGTAAATGTGAACAATTTTGAACATCTTGTATAAGTAATTGAACTGTTAAACTATTATTTTATTATCTCGATTTCTGTAAGACTTTTATTACATTTTTTTTGGGAAATTAACTTCTCTCATAACAGTGCATATGTGGTTAAAATTTGTCGGATAAGTTGTGAAACACCCTGTATATCTTATTTTCCAATAAATAACTTTTTGTTACAGTGACACAAAAATTTTGTATCGTCTGTACAGGGTGTTTCAAAAATCCACCTCTTTTAAATTCACATGAACTAAATTTTATGATACAGGACATCTTCTTTTGTACAATAACATGTACAAATTACAAATTTTTAAAGTGTAATTTTAGTTTAGAGTTTAATTTTTAGAAGAGTATCTTTTAAAATATCTCTTCATATACGGGGTGTTCCATTTAAAAAAAATTGGTTACTGTGTATTTAAAACAGGAGATTTTAATAAAACACCCTGTGTTGGTAATGCATAATTTCTGTATCACTGTAACATAAATTATAATAAAATAAAACATATCTGAGAAAATCGCTTTTTTACGATTATGCGTTTACAAATTACAAGCTTATTAAAGGGGCTACTTTTCATTGGGACACCCTGTATAACAAATAATTCCACTACATTTATTCACGTTCTCGTCTGACACAGCATTCTTTGTTATAGTAGAATACAGGGTGTTCTTAAACATCGTGTACATCCGAAATGGGGTGATTAATTGGCTTATTTTATGACTAAAAGTTCATATAAACGATTCGTTACCGATCTACAGGGTGTTGAAATTTCAAGATTTTTTTTTGTTTCTTTTTTTAGAGCTACTGTAGTTTTTGAGATATTTAGCTCAAATTTGTTAAAGGATATAGGGTATAGAGTATAATTTGAGTAGGATGGGGACATTTTCAACATTTATTATAATGTAATTTAATAATTATTATTTAGGATTTTTGTTTTGTAAAATAAATCATTTGTACAGATTAAAACGAAAAAAGTTTAAAAATAAAAAAGTTTCTAAACAAAAGAGACACTTAATTTGAAAAAAGGGTATATAACCTCTGTAGAATTCACCCTGTTGAGAATTTGAAATACTCAATAATGTGTGCCCTATAAATCAATCTAGATTCAAAATTTGAGCTAAATATCTCAAAAAGTGCTGGAGTTACAAAGAAAAAATAAAAAAAAATTCAAATTTAAACACCCTGTAGTCATAAAATAAGCCAAGGAATCACCCTCTTTCGGATGTACAAGATGTTTAGGAACACCCTGTATATTTTCACATGGAAACAGTCTTGAAATGACAATCGCATTTCACCATTTTAGATTTGTTATGTTGACATTCCTGAGTTTAATTTTGTTTCATCTTCATGTTTTGTTACTGTTAAGAGTACTATACTATAATACCTATATTCTGTTAATATCTCTAGCTATACAGGGTGAGTCATGAGGAATCGTACATACTTTAACAGTGTATAGAGGAACTTAAGGTGAATATCATACGATCATTAAAAGTTCCATCCGGCTCTTTTCTAAGGAGATACAGGGTGATTTATGAATTTTATGACGAAATTTTCTTTTTTTATATCTTTATGGTGGTTATTTCGATTTGGTTTATTTTTTGGTAAAAGTATACATTTTGAACCAGCAACACACTGGCATATTCAAAATTAAAAAAATTCAGGACCGTCTTCTAAAAAAAGAGGTACATATTTCCAAACTTAATATTTCACCCTGTATACACTTTTTCTAAATTTTCATTTGATTAATGTAGAAGGTAAAAGTAACTCATAAAGCCTGAGCATCGGAAATTTTTGACAAACTTTGTTTAAATTGTCAATTATCAATTAAATGTTAAGAAAAATTGCACATTTAGGATAACCAAATTTTATTTAAATCAGATAAGTAGTTTCCAATATACAGATAGTTTAAGCTCATCGTGACACACCCTGTATACCCACGTGAAAATATTCACGTGATTTTGTCGAGAATACCAATTTTTAATTTGCATGTCAAAATTTTTTATTTCCACGTGAATAAATGTCGAGAATTGGGCCCCAGTTTGCAATATGGTCATAACTACGAGTTGAACAGAGAAAGATTGAATAAAATGACAGTTGTTAGAGTGCAAAAGTTGCAATGACACAAATCAGTCATTCTTTCTTTTTCCTTTGTAAGTGTCTAATGGAAGTTGTCTCTATCGCACTTTATAACCTATATTGCAAACCGAAATGAATCAACCTGTATATTATGTTTACAAGCAGAGTTAAAAGATCGAATCGAGATTGGGTTGAGTTTGAAGTTTTTTTCTGTATGCAGGATTGAATGATTGAATCGAGATCGAGTTCGAGTACAGTTGAAGTGACAGCCGATGAAAACTTTTTGCAACACGAAAAACTAAAATTTGGTTACATTACTAGATTTTGAAAAAGTCACTAGATCTGGTGACTTCATTAATTTTCAACTCGGATGAAATTCAACTCGAAGCTTGAACTAAGCTTCAACTCTGCTTGTAAACATTCCAATGGCTTTTCTAACAACTTAATCGATATTTTTCGCAATAATTTCAGGAACATAGCGCCTTCTGAAAGCCTGTTATGTTCGTTGTTCACCTGCGGAGAAGGTTGGCACAATTTTCATCACGCTTTCCCGTCGGATTACAAAACTGGAGAGTTGGGTTTCGGCTTTATAAATTTGACAACTGGTTTTATTGATTTAATGGCAATTCTTGGTTTAGCTTATGATTTGAAAACCGCTTCAGAGGAATTGATTCGAGCTAAAATGGCTAATAGAGGTGACGGGACTAGGCCGTACTTGCATTGAAGTTAAAGAAACCGTTTTTGTATTTCAAACTGTATTTCAACTTGTATTTCAATAAAGATTTTAATAAAATCACCAGATTTAGTGACTTTTTCAAAATCTAGTATTACCAGATTTTAATAAAATCATCAGATTTAGTGACTTTTTCAAAATCTAGTCATACTAGATTTTAGTAAAATCACCAGATTTAGTGACTTTTTCAAAATCTAGTCATTTTACCAGCTTTTAGTAAAATCCAGGGTATGGGAACTCGTAGCTACTGGCTCCACCTGTTTCGTGCGTCCATGAAACACCACTGCGCATGTTTTGCTATAGAGGGCAGTGTATGAAAATGGTCTAGTAAAGTACCCGTCACAGAACATACATAAACAAGAAGGGACATCTCCGTGAGAATTTCGTAGACGTTCTAGAGCGCACTCTGAGAATAGTAGCTGTACTAAATTAATGGGCGTTGCCTAGTAAAAGTGGATGTCATGTAGAACTCTACACTAAAATTAGTAATATAGGTTTTTTATTCGATTTTTTTCTGACTGTTTATATTATCCATAGACCTATTAAGTATGGACGCGGCACAATCGGTATTTTGAGGTTATTCAGCGTTCCCAATGATAGAGAGAGAGGTCCGTGAGAGATGGAGCTAGTTTGGGCTAAAAGTAGGCGGGACCAAAAAAAATATAAAATATATACAGGGTGTGTGAAAAAAGGCGATTAACCTGTTAAATTATTTATACGCTTAATATTTAAATATTGTTTTTATCTTGGTATCCACTTGGACAGAAGAATGACCAGGAAGAAACATATTTTTTACAAGAGAAAGCAGTTAGGTCTTAAATTGCGAAATCTGTACTGGCTAATAGGTAGGAGGTTCCAAATAACAATACAAAATAAGAACTGTATTTGCAAATGCGTGGGAATTTAGACTCAGCTGAAAAATGCATTTTGCTCGGTAAAAAAAAAATAAATCCTCAACCCTATTCTACCATAAGCTACCCTCCTCCACCCCAGCTACCTTGCATTACTGAAAACGTAACTCACGTGGTCTTTTGCTTTCTTACTATTGGCTAATGCATTGTCCAATCTCTCATTGCCATATGCCCAAACTAGCTGCATCTCTCTCATTCATCGACAACACTACCTCTTTGTCTAAACCGCGTCCATAGTTAATAGGTCTATGATATTATCCAATTTCTTGTAGAACTTGTACAATTTGTTACATTATTATAAAATGTATAGAATTTTGATATAGATAGTAAAATTAATTGTACAAGTTTTACAAGAAATTGGATAAAGTAACTACTCTCATAAAATAAGTAAACACAAACACTTCTACTTAAAAATATATTGAAAAAAAATGTCAAAATTCATTAAATTTAAATAAAATCGCTAAATAAACTGAAATATTATGGCGGAACCAGAAAAATTTGCTACGCGCTATAAAAACAAGCAATAGAACGAAAGATTTAACTTTAACTTTCCACAATTCTTCACTAACAATTCACTAACACTACTATACACAAAACTTATACAACTTACAGGCAATAACAATGCCCTTTAAATTCACTCGAAAACAAACGAAATAAATGAAAAAAAAAACTTTTCGGTTTTAACTTTATCTTGCACTACAAGAGAAAATATGCCGAATCGATGCGAATCAATACAAGACGCAATTATTGTTTTTGAAATACGGCGTTGAGCGGGTTGCTTGCGGTGGCCTGAAATAAACTACTGTTGCGCCATCTATCAATAGTGCCGAAACTAAATGAACGTCTAAAATTTCTCATAAGGCTGTCTAGGCCCTGCATACATAAACAAGAAGGGACATCTCCGTGAGAATTTCGTAGACGTTGCAGAGCGCACCCTGAGAGCAACAGCAGATATTAAACGGTAATGGATGTTACATAGTAAAAAGGGGATAGTGTGCAAGCAGTTGTGTAATACTGGTTTTCTATTCGACTTTTTTCTTTTTCTTGCTCATATCCAATTTCTTGTAAAACTTGTACAATTTATTATACTATAATAATAATTATATAGAATGTATAAGAATTTTATATAATTATCAAATATACATAGTATAATAAATTGTACAAGTTTTACAAGAAATTGGATAATGGATAATATCGAGAATAATTACTTTCACAAATAAATTAACGACAAAAACGTTTCATTTAAAAAAATATATTTAAAAAAACATGCAAATATGCAGATTTCAAATTAGATATTAACTAATTCAATATAAATTAATACCATATTAATATAAATACAATACACTTAAATAGTACAATTTTAAAATAATTCTTCATAATTTTAAATGCAAACCTACATATTATGAATAATAACTTAGACTTTAAAGTACTTTGGCCTATTAACAATACAATAATAAGTTTACAAACCTTTTTTCTGAGAAATCCAGTCGTTTATATCTGTCGATTGGCGAACCCAATAGAACAATCTCCATTTTCTGTAACAAAAAATAAGCAGTTGAATGAATGAAATTGATATTTGGGTTTAAATTATGTAGTTATTATGTTTAAAGTAATAATGTTAATTATATTTACCTAGCAAAGAAAGCATCACACAGCAATCTTGCCTGATTTCTGGAATCTGCTTTGGAAAAATGGCGGTCGACGCTGCAACAAGTCTTTATAATTTATAAAACTTACGGCAAATACCAAAGCACTTTTTATAATAGTCGATAACTAACAATAGTTGGAAGAAATATTTATTCGGTTTTATTTCAAATTTCAACACTTCGAAGTGCACGTTTTCAAAAATCGTTAATAATGATCTACGGCATGTTGCGCGGGTTGCTTGCGCTGTTTCTTAAATAAACGATCGCCGCGCCATCTCTACTCATCAGCACGAACTAAATTTAACGTCGAAAATTTCTCATAAGGCTGTCTAGGCCCTGAAATTGAGTTTCCCATCTATAGTGTAGGTTATCTGTGGTAAAATCACCAGATTTAGTGACTTTTTCAAAATAATTTTACCAGATTGTAATAAAATCACCAGATTTAGTGACTTTTTCAAAATCTAGTCATTTTAGTAAAATCACCAGATTTAGTGACTTTTTCAAAAATGTAGCAATATCCCCAAAAAGTCGTCGTCGACAGGACATCGAAGATGTCGCAACGTCGAAACAGCATCAGCATCGGCAGCGTCGCCGTCGGTCGAACGCCGACGCTCTCCCGCCGACCGAGATCTCTCCTCTCCCTTTCGGCGTCGCGACGTCCGATCGCCGGTCGTTCGACATCGACTTCGACGCTTTCAGTCTTCGATGCGACGGCGTCGGTGCCGGCCGATATCGAAAAGCGGCGTCGCGACGCTCTTTACGACGCCGTTTTACGTCGGGATACAGCCCGTGTGCCGGTGTGCGCATCGCCGGGTGCTCGATATAGGATTTATCCGACTGGAAGGTACATTTATTATTTTTATTATTTTTTTTTTTTTGTTTTGTAAGATTAGATTTATTTCGATTTATTTCGATTTATTTCGATTTATTTCGATTTATTTCGATTTATTTCGATTTATTTCGATTTATTTCGATTTATTTCGATTTATTTCGATTTATTTCGATTTATTTCGATTTATTTCGATTTATTTCGACGATTGCTTTGTTTTTCTATCGATAATAAGTCTGTTTAAAGTGTATAGTATTTACAAAGTCAATTAGGAAATTAGGATTAATATTCATTTTTTTTATCTGGAAGCAATCTAAATTATTCCGGACAATTCTGTATTGTTCTAGATACTTCTAATTAATTCTGGACAGTTCTTAACCATTCTAGACAGTTCTAAATGGATCTCGTCAATTCTGCTTAATCTTGAAGTAATCTTAAATAATTCTAAACAGTTCTGAACTGTTTTAGACAATTCTAATTCATTCAGAAGCGTTCTAATCCATTTAGAAGCCTTCTAAATCATTCTTAACAGTTCTGGACAGTTCTAAAATGGTTCTCCACAATTCTAATCGGTCCTGAAGCAATCTAAACTCCGCGCGCCGTTAAATTATATCATTTTTTTCTACAAAAAAACTATCGAAATATTATATACAGGGTGTGTCACGACGAGGGCCCATTAGAAGTATCTGGAAAAGTAGTTGTAATTAAAATTTGAAAATATGTGTACAAGTATTAGTCGATGCGCTCTATTCAATGAAAATATTTTCAACTTTTCTTGACTTCCGGTTATACCGGAAATGGACAGCAACTTTGTTATTTTAAATGGGACACCCCATATATTAATATATTTTCGAAATCTACGCCAAATTTTACAGTGCTTTTGTCTAAAAAACTTTTTTCAAAAATGCATACTTTTTGAGTTAGTAATTTTTTTTTGGAAAATTTGACCGATGCAGACCCTTATAAATTATTTTTTTGCGGGGATTCCTTTAAAGATATGGATACGGTTTCTGTAGGGTGGCCACTAGCAAGGTCAAAGGTATTTGAATCCGTGTTAAAAAACTATTTTATAAAGGGTGTATACAAAACATGTTAAAAGTTGAACTTCAAAAATACCAAATTATTTCATTTTTTTAAATGGAACCACCCATTTTTTTCTATTTTATTGAAATCACCGATAAAAAATAAGGAAAGTTCATGTTTACTTCCCTATACCTAAACCTAATAGGTACTAATAGTTGTTTTTATTAATTTTCATGAAAATTCGTACGATAGAAAATATTATTTTAATGTTAATTATTCGGTTATCCTAAATGTGTAATTTTTTATAAAAGTTAATTGATAATTGACAATTTAAACAAAGTGTGGCAAAAATTTCCGATGCTCAGGCTTTATGAGTTACTTATACCTTCTACATTAACCAAATGAAAATTTACAAAAAGTGTATACAGGGTGAAATGTTAAGTTTGGAAATATTTACCTCTTTTTTTTTAAGACGGTCCTGAATTTTTTTTTAATTTTGAATATGCCAGTGTGGTGCTGGTTCTAAATGTATACTTTTACCAAAAAATAAACCAAATCGAAATAACCACCATAAAGAAATAAACAAAAGAAAATTTCGTTAAAATTAATAAATCACCCTGTATCTCCTTAGAAAAG